ACACACTCATGGTAAAAACCTTCCAGTGTCCAGCACCCCCCGCTATCTAACACCATCTCTCCATGGAGCTCTATCAATTCAATTCAATTCAAGGCGCTTTATTAGCATGACCGATGGGTACAATCAGTGTTGCCACAGCAAATAAAATAATGAAATTCACATGAAACAACACAAAAAATACAAGTAAAATAAAATACAGCACAGACATATTGTAAAATATTCACATATACTGTAGACAGAGGGTGCATTATTGGGAGACAGACTCACTGTTCCTCAGGCTGTGACAGGAGATCACATACTGGGCAGACTGACGGTGCAGGTAGCTTTTTTTCTCGGCTTATGAAATCGAGCATGTTTTCAGAAGCCCCCATGAGTTACAAGTGAGTTACAAATGAGTTACAAAATCCTTTTTTTCCCCATGGCCATCACGGTAATTCCAGTTAATACACTTAATCCTAATTAGTATTTGAGGTAATCCTTATTAGTCATTTCTAGTGTGCACTACTTTTTTCCAGTGTGCTCCTTTTTCAAGTGTGTGCTTTTGTGAAGGTGCCCTTTTTCTAGTGGGTGCTGTTTATTCGTATTATCTCCCGTGTCCAAGTTTGCATTTCATTGTTCAAGTGTGCGCTGTTTTTTCTTACGTGCATTCCCTTTATCTAGTGTGTATCCCCTTTATTCCAACGAGAGTCTATTTTTCTGTGTTTCCTTTTTCAAGTGTGTTTCTTTTTCGAGTTTATGTTCCCTTTTTCGAGTGAGCGTCCATTTAACTAGTGTCTGGTCCTTTTTTAGTGTGTTATATTCCTTTATTTAGTGCGTGCTCTCTTTTTCAAGTGTGCACTCCTTTCTCTTGTGTGTTCCTTTTTGTTGTGGGCGCTCCATTTTAAAGCCTGCGTTCTTTTTTTCTGACGATCCTTCTTCAAATGCGCACTCTTTTCCCTAGTGTACGTTCCCTTCTCTTAGTGTACGCTCCTTTTTCTAGTGTGCACTCCTTTTTGAGGTGCGTGCTCCGTATTTTTAGCGAGCAGAGGAGTGGCTGCGGTTTAAGAAACTCCAATCAGGGGAGAGACATGAGAGGGACAGTCTGAGAGGAGACCGTGGAGAAGATTGTCGAATGAATCCTGGGAAGGACCGGGAGAGAGCAGCTAATCCGAAGGGAAATATCCCGTGTGAAGAATGGGATTATTCCCATAGAGAGTAGCCCGTTGATCGTGAGGACAGGGCTGTGCGGTCAGTCCGCTGTGAATGAAAGTGAAGTGAGAGAGTTAGAGTTCCCACACCTGCCAGAATCACAACGGGTCCCAGTCCTACTGGGAGAGGGAGGAGGGAACTCAGTTGAACTGGCAGCCCAGTATGTGATCTC